CTTTCAAAGAACCAGCTCTTGGTTTCATTGATCTTTTGTGTTGTTTTTTGGTCTCTATATCATTTATTTCTGCTCTGATCTTTATTATTTCCTTCCTTCTAATCTCCTTGGGCTTTTCTTGTTGCTCTTTTTATAATTCTTTAAGTTGTAGGGTTAGATAATTTACTACCAGTTTTTCTTGTTTTTTAAGGTAGGCCTATAATACTATGAACATCCCTCTCAGGACTGATTTCACTATGTCCCATAGATTTTGGGGATTGTTTTGTTTTCATCGTCATTTGTTTCCAGGATGTTTTTTTCATGTCTTTTTTTATCTCTTTGGTAACCCAATAATTGTCTAACAACAAGTTATTTAGCCTCCAAGTGTTTGAATTTTTTATTTTTGTAGTTGATTTCTAAAATTATGCCATTGTCATCTAAGAAGATGCTGATATGATTTCAATCTTCTTGAATTTGAAGACACTCTGTGCCCCAATATGTGGTCTATCTTTGAAAATGCCACATGTGTACTTGAGAAGAATGTATATTCTGTAACTTAGGGGTGAAATGTTCTGAAGATGTCAATTAAGTCCATCTGATCTAGTGAATCATTTAGGATTGCTGTTTTTTGCTGGTTTTTTTGTCTAGAGGATTTAACCAGTGATGTAAATAGGGTATTAAAGTCCCCTATCATGATTGTATTGCTGTCAATCTCTCCCTTGATATTTTCTAGAATTTTTCTAGGTATTTGGGTGCTCCTGCATTGTGTGTATATGTTTACCAGAGTTATATCTTCTTGTTGTATCAATTCCTTTAGTATTATAAAGTCACCTTCCTTGTCTCTTGTTATGGCCTTCACTTTTAAGTCTACTTTGTCAGATATAAGTATTGCTACCCCAGCTTTTCTTTTATTTCCATTTGCCTGTAATATATTTTTCCATCCCTTCACTCTCAGTTTGTGTGAGTCCCTTGTTCTGAGGTGGGCCTCTTATAGACAGCATATTTATGGGTCATGTTTTCTTATCCATTCAGCCACTCTGTGTCATTTGATTGGAGCATTTTGTCCACTTACGTTTAAGATTATTGATAGATATTTGTTTGTAGCAATTTTTATTCTTTATGCCTGTGTTCCTTCTTCCCTTCTATTTCTTCTTTTTACAACAGTCCAACAGTCCCTTTAGCATTTCTTGCATTGCTGGCTTGGTAGTGATAAACTCCCTTACCCTTTTTTGGTCTGTAAAGCTCCTTAATCCCCCTTTAATTTTGATTGATAGCCTTGCTGGATAGAGTAATATTGGATTAAATCCCATGCTTTGCATCATTTAGTAGACTTCATTCCATTCCTTTATGGCCTGATGTGTAGCTTTCTGTTAAGAAATCACTTGATAGTCTAATGTGAGATCCCTTGTAGGTAACTTTCTGTCTCTCTCTTGCAGTCCTTAAGTTTCTTTCCTTGTCATTAATGTTTGCCATTGTAATTAAG